GATATAGCTGGTACTAGAATACTTACATGTAGGACGACAAGGAGCGATATAGCTGGTACTAGAATACTTACATGTAGGACGACAAGGAACGATATAGCTGTTCCTGGAATACTTACATGTAGGACGACAAGGAGCGATATAGCTGGTACTAGAGTACTTACATGTAGAACGACAAGGAACGATATAGCTGGTACTAGAATACTTACATGTAGGACAACAAGGAGCGATGTAGCTGGTACTAGAATACTTACATATAGGACGACAAGGAACGATACAGCTGGTACTAGAATATTTACATGTAGGACGACAAGGAGCGATACAGCTGGTACTAGAATATTTACATGTAGGACGACAATGAACGATATAGCTGGTACTAGAATACTTACATGTAGGACGACAAGGAGCGATATAGCTGGTACTAGAATACTTACATGTAGGACGACAAGGAGCGATATAGCTGGTACTAGAATACTTACATGTAGGACGACAAGGAGCGATATAGCTGGTACTAGAATACTTACATGTAGGACGACAAGGAGCGATATAGCTGGTACTAGAATACTTACATGTAGGACGACAAGGAGCGATATAGCTGGTACTAGAATACTTACATGTAGGACGACAAGGAGCGATATAGCTGGTACTAGAATACTTACATGTAGGACGACAAGGAGCGATATAGCTGGTACTAGAATACTTACATGTAGGACGACAAGGAGCGATATAGCTGGTACTAGAATACTTACATGTAGGACGACAAGGAGCGATATAGCTGGTACTAGAATACTTACATGTAGGACGACAAGGAGCGATATAGCTGGTACTAGAATACTTACATGTAGGACGACAAGGAGCGATATAGCTGGTACTAGAATACTTACATGTAGGACGACAAGGAGCGATATAGCTGGTACTAGAATACTTACATGTAGGACGACAAGGAGCGATATAGCTGGTACTAGAATACTTACATGTAGGACGACAAGGAGCGATATAGCTGGTACTAGAATACTTACATGTAGGACGACAAGGAGCGATATAGCTGGTACTAGAATACTTACATGTAGGACGACAAGGAGCGATATAGCTGGTACTAGAATACTTACATGTAGGACGACAAGGAGCGATATAGCTGGTACTAGAATACTTACATGTAGGACGACAAGGAGCGATATAGCTGGTACTAGAATACTTACATGTAGGACGACAAGGAGCGATATAGCTGGTACTAGAATACTTACATGTAGGACGACAAGGAGCGATATAGCTGGTACTAGAATACTTACATGTAGGACGACAAGGAGCGATATAGCTGGTACTAGAATACTTACATGTAGGACGACAAGGAGAGATATAGCTGGTACTAGAATACTTACATGTAGGACGACAAGGAGAGATATAGCTGGTACTAGAATACTTACATGTAGGACGACAAGGAGAGATATAGCTGGTACTAGAATACTTACATGTAGGACGACAAGGAGAGATATAGCTGGTACTAGAATACTTACATGTAGGACGACAAGGAGAGATATAGCTGGTACTAGAATACTTACATGTAGGACGACAAGGAGAGATATAGCTGGTACTAGAATACTTACATGTAGGACGACAAGGAGAGATATAGCTGGTACTAGAATACTTACATGTAGGACGACAAGGAGAGATATAGCTGGTACTAGAATACTTACATGTAGGACGACAAGGAGAGATATAGCTGTTCTCTATTTGCTCTACTAGAATACTTTCATGCACGAAGATAAGGGGCGATCTTGTTGCCTTTTCAACACTAGGACTTACTGTAACAGATGGTAGTGCCATTCCCTCCTACATTTAACGCCTGACGTTTATGAATGTCATGCTCCTCAGCTGCTGTATCAGTGTTTACGGGAAATCCTGTAAACAGAAAAAAAACATATTTCATCATGCACGGAGCAATTTTGCATTTCTGTATTCAAATCAGCTGTTCTAGCTTTAACACCTAAAAACATCTTGAGGCTTTTATTTCATATTCGTCAGATATTTTAATAGAATTGCATTGTTCATAGAAGTTATTTTATGAGACTTTGCGCTATATATCAATTTGTAGGTTTAACCGACAATATCTATGTACATCTATGTTGGCCATCCTAGTTTACTAAGAAATTCAAAAATGACAATGCGTAATAATCAAACTTGGAATAATGAAAGACTTGACGATCACGAACATGATTTCATTCAAAATGTCTTTACTAATGTAGCATTTCATTTGGAGAATACGCAGCAATTTCTTCGTAATATATCATTAGACAGACGAATTAGCATCCCGAACATCAAAGAGTTGGTTGCAAAGATTTACCGTTCGGAGAATTGGCTACGATCAATCTGGGATGGCTGTATTTATACGAGACGGTAACACTTTTGATCACAGGTGCAAACTTACTACTATCATAGACGAGAGGAAAATAACACTTGTTTAACTATTCGTTATAATGGCATACTGAAGCAAACAGAAGATATTTGATTTAAAAACAAACGAAAAGGGCAGGAAGTCTACATACATCGAGTCATACCTTGTATGGAGGTCCACGTAAGTAACGCTAGAACCAGGACGACAGCGAAAACAAAAGTTGGCCGCATCTTCAGTAAACAGAATTTATAATATAGCAACAGTGCCAAATGTTAGCTACATATGTAGCAGATCCTACAACTTCTGTCGCGTGTCAAAATTGTAATCATCGTACATGTATACACTCGTAATACATTTGACATGTGAATTGGCGCTTAGAAAATACTTTTTGTATTGTATTAGCAGCAAACGTGACAGCATTCTTGTTATAATTAGAAATAACATCTGTTACACAACAGGGATTAGAGTCAATGTCATTCAGTGTATCTTCCGAAGGTAAGCCTAATACTTGATGATTAGGACAATTTAAGGGATGAACGGCCTGACGTTCGACCAGGTCTCGCAGTACAGATATCCGTCGTTATGTAAGTTTTGTGAGACTTCTCCTGTCTCTAGATTTGTTACACGAGCTTCAATACAATAATAATGAAGTTTCATGATTTCCTCTACAGTGAGTGCTTGCTAAATTGTTTTTTCAAATTTCTATTGAGCATATATACATCTTTACTAAATAAAAGTCAGGGATAGACAAAGGAAAAAGGATCAATCCAGGTATAGTAACTTGTTTCAGAAAATCAATCGACCAGTAGGTAATCATTGAAAATCAAGAGGTTACGCACTCTGCACCCCTGGAATGTGTCATGAAGAAACCGAAGGCACTGTGCGCACCACGTTGTGACTAGTTTGATAATTGAGTATGTATCAAAAGAATCGCGAGGTAGAGTAACGGTTAAGTTGACTTGTTTTAAAGTAATGTGTTGTTCAAAGGACGGGTACAGATATCAGCCTCGGTCATCGATTGGCATGGTGTTTTTTTTGTTAACCTGAAACCAATCAAATAGCTAGTGCGTGCCTTCGATGGGAAATTTAAAATAAAATAAAAATAAACAAAATATAAAACATTTAAAATTTGCAATGGCAGCACCCTTATTTCGTCCCCAAGTAGAAGGCATAAAAGGAGAGCCCTAATTCTGAAGGGGTTCCCCCATTAGTTGCCTCTTGCAATATGCACTGGATAACAGCAGGTTTATTTTTTTCTCAATTTCCGACATACAGGGGTGTCATGTGACTTAACAATATGAATATACGTCATTTTTTGTACAGATAAAACAATATGGCATTCGCAATAAAAACGATTTTGACTCACTAACTATATATGTCGCCATTACCAACGTAACAAAAATAATTTATCTTCAACTGACAAATGTATATATGATCTTTGTAAGTGTTGATAAAACTACGTTTCCGATTGATTAACTGAAATACATGTATTTTTTTCTTGATACAACTCACCTAACATAGTTTTATTGTCATTAACATTGGTAATACACGTATAACCTAATGTTTCAATTGGTAATACACGTATAACCTAATGTTTCACTCAAACATGAAGTAAAGCAGGCAACTTTCATACTCGATTTTGTTAACCCGGACAAGGACAAAGATCAAAGTCACAATAACGCTTGTTGAAGCAGAGGGATATCGATATACCACGTAGGATGCCGTGTTACCAGTCAGCAGTCTTTTTTATGTCGCAGTAAGCCCAGTATTGTTAGACGGGTGGATTATGGGATGGGTCGATGGCGCTCTTCTCGCAACAATACAAGGACGTATGTTTGCATTGACAAATATTCAGAAATGTATTCGTGTTTCGAAATAAATTCAAGGAAAATCGATAAAATAAAGCAATTCAAAAGTGTCTTTTCATCGGAAAACTGTCTATATACGCTGTCAGGTCGATCCCTGCATTGTTGGAGAGTGAAATCGATCTCTATCCAACTATGCACGTGTTCGTGTATTAGTAACTGGGACAGTGAATATACGAGTACAATCAATAGAGTATAATAAGGGTGGTCAGGTGGCGCAGTGGATATCGTACTTCCCTTTCACCCAGACGGCCGGGGTTCGATTCCCCGATCAGACGTGAAATAGTATGGGGTCATTGGCCTCACACGACGGTTTTCTCCAGGTACTCTGGTTTCCTCCCACATTAAGACCCCTTACGCTTATACCATCTGGTCAAACAAGAGTGATAAATATCAGTTGAAAGAACTTGTTTCACAACTGTTGTTAAATAAACAATGTTTAGTTAAGTTAATAGTGTATACTGTCTAAACTTAAACCTCAATAAATATGTATATGTCAGATTTACATTGTACCTTTCAAAGCTACTTCATTTTATCTATATACTAGTACTGTACCTACAAAAATAAGCTTGCGTGCTTGGAAAATCTGATTCCGCTTATCCATGAACAGCTCTAGATAAGGTTGGTCAAGTGGCGAAGTGAATAGCGCACTTGCCTTTCACCAAGGCGGCCGGGGTTGATTCCCGGATCGAACGTGAAAAGGTATGGGGTTACTTGCCCGACCACGTTGGTTTTCTACGAGTTCTCCGGTTTCCTCCCACATTAAGACCCCCGCGCTCTAACATCCGGGCCAGCAAGAGTGATTAAGATAAGTTGAAGTAACTTGTTTCATAATTGTTGTAAAAAAAAAAGTTTATATTATGAACAGTTCTAAAAAGAGGGACATGATCCTTAAATATGTCAATATTCTCTTTTACTTTAAGATATTTTCCACTCCAACAATCTTCTAGCCCTATATTTCATGTGATCATTTCAAAGCTCACCTAACATTATTAGCTGTAATAAACAAACGCATAGCAAGTATTTTAAATAATACTTCTCGTTCGTTTGTGGTACGGCCTGCTTTCTATGCCATACTGCAATGTCTTCCGTGATTTACTATTCAGTTTTTACTGCATTTCTCTTTAGACCGATTTGGATTTCGATTGTTTCCGCCCCTAGCTTCACCGATTAGTCCTAGAAGGACGGAACAGCTGTGTGGTATAAAGTAATTAAATCATCTTTGGTATACTGTATCAAACTGAATACATGTGCAATAACATGTGTGTGTGTAATACGTTTATCTTTCAAGATACCAGGTGACGGACTCTGCTTGTGAATGTTTTAGTCTCCAATGTTTGACGTAACCTTGATGGTCATAATTATCTCTTTACATACTTTTCTTATTATTGATTTGAAATTAAAGTACTCGTCGAATTTTTGAACTCATACAATTAGGAGATGTAATGCACCTCCCCTTCAGTTTCAAAAGTAGTTTAGACCGATATAGATTTCCTCCATTTTGGCCCCTGGCATCACCGATGACTCCTAGAATGACGAAACAACTGTATGGTAGAGTGCAATTCAGTCCTATATAGCATACCATATATTATACTAAACTAGACAGTCCAGTCACATGTCAATCTGTATCTTACTGGTGACCAAAATAAGTACATTCTGATGCTTTGACGGAAAACACCATGATGAGTGCTTAGACACCTTGTTTCGCCTCTTACGTTCAATAGGAATTGGTAACTATCTTCCTTTTGTTTCCATTTTTAGAATGGATTTTATCCTTGTGTACTGACAATTTGGTGCGTTGTTTATGCCCATGTAATTTTACTGACACATCCAGCTCAAGACATTAGTCTTTAAAGACCACGGACACATTTGTATGGCAGATACTGATTTTCAGCAGTTGACAAAAAACAGAATGGAAATAGATGTATACGGTATTCCGAAACATAAGTATAAACACAGCAAATATGGCAGGGAGTCTCTCTATACATTGTTTAGATACTGGACTTGTGGTTGTTTAAAGAATATTAATTCACGACCTTATGTACAATCCGTACACGTATTTTTAATTACATCTTAAATACTGTGTATCCACTTAACTTCATATACATTTCAACGAGGAAGCGTCTGTATGTTAGGTGTTTCAGCCCGTGATAGGTAAACGTCTTATCTATTTATAATAAGCATTGCTCTTAAGACATTGTTATAAAATCACTGATGTATTGTTTGAGATTACCTGATGAATCAATTAGTTATATATCATATGTGAAGTAAATTCAATCATCACAATAAGCTTATAATCGTACATAGGTTACTACAATAGCTTTCAAAAAAATCGAAAATATCGGTATTAGCAAAATTAATGGCTTTACTCAGCAAAATTAATGGCTTTACTCGATACAAGTTCTAGTTGACTGTAAATTGATAGCATAAACAATGCATCGCTTTTCACATCAAGTTGACATATTGAAGTGGAATGCACACAGAGATTATATTATAGAGTCGTTTCATTATTGAGTGCCCCGTGCCATGATAAATTTTATTGATGTTCATCATTAAGTGTATGTACTCATACATAGCATTACTTTGTTCTGCTAATAGTCATTAAAAGCATAGTTGTTGCTGCCACGTGTCAAGTGGCTCGTTTAGTTCAAGCACGTGATTTACACAATTGGATCAAATAATCAAAAGTACAACAACATCAAAACGCAGAAATAACTAATATAGCATAGCTCAAAAAGGATAGCATATACCAAAAAGTCACACAAAAGAAAAACATGTATAACACAGCATCAGTACATAACGACGAAATATACCGCAGTTACAACCCACCAACACACAAGGACAAAATATAATCCAGTCTCAACACACAAGGACACAATATCAATTGTCAACACACAAGGACAAAATATCAACCAGTCTCAACACACAAGGACAAAATATCAACCCGTCTCAACACACAAGGACACAATATCAATTTTCAACACACAAGGACAAAATATCAATTGCGAACACACAACGACAAAATATTGATAGATGTGCTCAGCGCTCTCAAATGGATAAAATCTCGAGCCCATCTGCGGTGGCCTCTCGATTTTATACACGTGCTCGCGATGAGAATATTGTTCTCACGACAAACCCTGAAAATACTGTGTGATTAACTTTTTATCATCTATATACTACTACCTTATATATTTCTTCATTTAAAAAAGTCAGCTAAACACTATGTTTTCCAAACGACTTATAGGCTCAATTGTCATCGATCGCAAATACTAGGCCTGTGACAAACGTAAAGAAGTAGAAGATTTGCGCGAGGTATACCATGAACCTTAAAAACTACATCTTTGTATGTAGAATTTTTTCGTTTTAACAATCTTATTGTCATTGGCTTTTCCATATGCACATTTACGCTTGAAATAGTGCTGTCATTCTCACA